TTATAACATTTATGAAAGTGATAGCTTGATTTGATGTACAAACTTTTTTAGATAATTTTATCTTTAAATTTTTAAATAATAAAAAATAATATTAGAAAATAACTATCTTGGAAAACAAAAGACTTAATTCAAGATTTTGAGATTTGAAGATCAAGCATACTATCGAGTCATTTAACAAATATTAATAATTTTAAAACATTTTTATTAAATTAAATATAGAGGTAAAGAGTTTCTCAACTCCACTAATAACTATAATAAAAACGATAACTCTTTATAGGAAACACATTTTCTTTCCTATTTTGTCCTTCTAATTACTTTTTAACATTCTACAAAATATCCACATTTTTTCAAATAATTACCTATTATTTATATAATTTTTTTATATTTTATCTTTTGTTTTTTCCTTTTAAAACAAAGAGACACGGAGTGTCTATTTTTCTTGCTAATATTAATGAAAAAGATATTTTAAAATTTATAATATTTTATAATATATTAAAATAAATAAATTAAATTATACTACACATTTTAATTTTAATATAATAGCCAGGAGAATGAGTATAATAATATTCATATTTCTTGAGAGAGAAAAATATAATTTATTCTATATTTTAATATATGGACCGAGAGTAATGTATTACTTACACTTGGATTTTTTCATGAAAGAAAAATATAATTTACTCTATAATATTAAGTTAAATGAGTCAAAATAGATTTTAACATTAAAAAGAAGTCGTATAATACTCTGATAGTAATTTTATTTATTTCATATAACTAATATATCAAATTTGGATTTATTTCTCATGTTTTACTAAAGTAAAATATATTCTCTACTGTGTTTTTTTTTACAAATTAATTACACAAGAATATTATTTCAATACTAAATTTTTAATCATACAAAAATTATTAACAAAAAATGCATAATCTAACTCAAATAAGAAAAAAAATATAAATCGATATTTAATAATAAAGATATTCTAGATTTATGTTATCCAAATTAACCCTCATACATAAGTTTTCTCCACGTAATTACTTAATATGAACTCAGACCTATTTGGATCCTTTTGAAACAAGAAAAGTAACAAGATATATATACGGAAAGTTGCATTCTTTGATTGACGTAAGTTGATTATTCCTTACTTGGCATCACATTAGTTATTTGGATGCCAAGATTTTGAAATTCTTCCAGCAGCCATCATCAGAAAATTTTATTTCAATTTACCTCCTCTTAAAGTTTCATATGCTTCCTATGTGCATGAGAATTTCTTCTATTAAACCAAACTTTGCAAAATTCCCACTGCTTTAATGTAAAAAAACAAATAAGGTTTCATGATTACTATACCTATACTTTAAAGGGAATTTTCCTCATAAAACATAAAAAAAGCACCTTGTATATAACAACAAGCCATATGTAATTTTTGCCAGATTCTATATATCCTTCACAAACCATTACATCCATTTTGAATTTGGTTTCTGTAAGGGTAAATAGATTAATACTATTTAAAAGAAAGAAAGAAAGAAAGAATAGTTGCACCTAGTAATTTAGCACTTCACATTTGTCCAGATTTTGATAATTCCTTCAAAGTATTAGCAATCTTGTCCTCAGTTGTTTCACTAATGCATGCAACAAGAGGACTCTCATTGGGAACAACATCATCCCTATGGTAGCTTCCTGGACCTCTAAGTATTTCTTCTGATCCCTTAGACACCACACCCTTCAATATTATGGTCTTGTGAGTTCCAGAAATCAACTCTTCATAATCAGTGTCCCCAGTTTCTCCAAGAAACACATACATGTTTGCAACATTCAGTCCCCACCGGACAAAGAGATACCTAAGTAAATAGTAAACAGTCAACCACTGAATATTAAGTTTTTTTTTCTTTTGCAATTATAAGCCATAGAGCCTGTTTGGGTACAAATATAGAAATGTTTAAAAGTTTATTTACAGAAAAATAGTCTTTAAATTTAATAGAGGAACTCTCTAAAGTTCTTTTAAACTTGTATTTAAACAAATTTTAAGACTTGTTCATAAACACTACATAGCCAAGTCTCTCCCATTAAAGATGAAGAACTTTAGGATTGAACCTTAAAACTACCGGTTGGTTCTGTGCCATCTTGATAAAATGTTGTCTTAAACATGAAGTTAAGATTTAAGAAGTATGAACTGTTACATCAACATAAAGCTATCCGGATTGATGTCAAATGCAAAATCTGTTTGAAAGTTGTATGTGTTAGGTCCAGAGTAGGCTTAATAGTTACTCACAGCTACAAACACATACACATAAGGACACACAGACGCACACAAACAAACATATACATAGATAGATAGTGTTACAGATATTGTGAATATATTACAGATATTGTGGATACATATATTATGGTTATTATCCTCACTATCAATTAGGGATATGATTATATTAGTTTCCATAATATAAGAGATTAGTATCTCTATCATTTATTGTATTCACTCTATAAATAAGATTGGCGTGTGTACAACAATACACACAATTCCTGAATCACAACATGGTATCTAGAGCTTAGGTTCTATTCCTTTAGATTTTTTTTCTTTTTCTTCTTGCAGAGGCCTTCACCACCATCGTTGACCGCTGCCTCCGACCACCGACCCCGCCCGCCGCCGCCGACTACCACCGCCAGTCGACCGTTGCTGCCGCCCGCCGGCCGACCACCGCCGCTGAACATCGATCGCTGTCGATTGTCGACTGCCGCCGCCGA